AAAGAAAACCCGACCAGTAAACCATTTTCTATTATGCAGGTTGCAGGATATAACAAATAGCCAGTGGCGGAGCTAGGATTTGTATTTATCGGGGTCAAATTGCACAAATAATAATTATAGGGGTCAATTTCTTCAATGTACTAGAATCAATTTTCAAATTATAGCTAAAAATTAACTAAATTTCAAAGTTTCATGGGTGTCATTTGACCCCCATGATCTTTGGCTGCCTCCGCCCCTGCAACTAGCTGATGTTAAACTTTGATGGAAACAATTATAGAGATTGACTATTATCCTCTTGACTAAGAGTATTCTCCCAATGAGTTTTAGTTTTTAATTTGGTTGCAATTTGCAAATTTTGTTGTAATTTCACAACGTTGATGTGAAATCCATTACGTAGTATATAATTGGAACTAATCTAGGCATATATCCAAAAACTTTGATATTTGGATATTTTTTTTTTGGTATTTATGTACCCAAAAATAATTGGATTTTTAGCAGGTATGAAAATCTACACCCGATCCAATTTGAACTCGAAAGGACCCCAATCGAATCCAATTTTTTTTTTACATTTATCCTATTGGATCCTATAATCCTCTACCTAAGAAATCCGACTCCGAACGGTTCATACCCGAACCATGGTAGACAATTGTTGGACTTAATAAGTCCAACAATTGTCTACCATGGTGCCATTTTCCGTATGAACCGTTCGGGTATGTGCCTTATGTTATTAGTAATCATCACATTTCCAATGATTTAATGTGGTAGTGAGATTTATAATGGAAGAAAACTATTATATGCATGGTAGAGTCAAAAAAAAAATATGACTATATATATAAAACTTATAAACAAGAATATATATATATCTATATATATATATAAAGTTAGCTTTTCTCTCTTCTCATGATGCCACCTAATCATCCACCTAAACAACATTTTTAATTTTACACTAAAAATAAAATATGTATTATGGTCCTTTCCGATTTCCGTATTAGCTCTAAGTTCTTTCGGTCCTTTTTATGATCCCGACTTTCCGTATTATCTCTAAATTCTTTCGATCCTTTTTATGATCCCCGACTTTCCGTATTAGCTTTAAGCTCTTTCGGTCGTTTTTATGATCCCCGACTTTGCGTATTAGCTCTAAGCTCTTTCGGTCCATTTTATGATCCCCGACTTTCCGTATTAGCTCTAAGTTCTTTCGGTCCTTTTGATGATCCCAGACTTTCCATATTAGCTCTAAGTTCTTTCGGTCCATTTTATGATCCCCGACTTTCCGTATTAGCTCTAAGTTCTTTCGGTCCATTTTATGATCCCCAACTTTCCGTATTAGCTCTAAGTTCTTTCTGTCCTTTTTATGATCCCCGACTTTCCGTATTAGCTCTAAGTTCTTTCGGTCCTATTTATGATCCCCGAATTTCCGTATTAGCTCTAAGTTCTTTCGGTCCTTTTTATAATCCCCGACTTTCCGTATTAGCTCTAAGTTGTTTCGGTCCTTTTTATGATCCCCGACTTTCAGTATTAGCTCTATGTTCTTTCGGTTCTTTTTATGATTCCCGATTTTCCGTATTAGCTTTAAGTTCTTTCGGTCCTTTTTATGATCCCTGATTTTCCGTATTAGCTCTTAATTCTTTCGGTCCTTTTTATGATCCCCGAATTTCTGTATGAGCTCTACGACTTTCCGTATTAGCTCTAAATTCTTTCGGTCCTTTTATGATCCCCGACTTTCCGTATTAGCTCTAAGTTCTTTCGGTCCTTTTAATGATCCCCGACTTTCTGTATTTGCTCTAAGTTTTTTTGGTCCGTTTTATGATCCCCGACTTTCAGTATTTGCTCTAAGTTCTTTCGGTCTTTTTATGATCCCCGACTTTCCGTATTAACTCTAAGTTCTCTCGGTCTTTTTTATCATCCCCAACTTTCATTATTAGCTCTAAGTTCTCTCGGTCCTTTTTACGATCCCCGACTTTCCGTATTAGCTCTAAGCTCTTTCGATCATTTTTATGATCCCTGACTTTCCGTATTAGCTCTAAGTTCTTTCGGTCCTTTTTATGATCCCTGACTTTCCGTATTTGCTCTAAGTTCTTTCGGTCCTTTTATGATCCCCGACTTTCCGTATTAGCTCTAAGTTCGTTCGGTCCTTTTATGATCCCTGACTTACCGTATTAGCTCTAAGTTCTTTCGGTCCTTTTTATGATCCCGACTTTCCGTATTAGCTCTAAGTTCTTTCGGTCCTTTGATTATCCCCGACTTTCCGTATTAGCTCTAAGTTCTTTCGGTCCTTTTATGATCCCCGACTTTCCGTATTAGCCCCCGCACGTTTCGGTCCTTTTTATGATCCCCGACTTTCCGTATTAGCTCTAAGTTCTTTCGGTCCTTTTTATGATCCCCGACTTTCCGTATTAGCTCTAAGTTCTTTCGGTCCTTTTTATGATCCCCGACTTTCCGTATTAGCTCTAAGTTCTTTCGGTCCTTTTTATGATCCCCGACTTTCCGTATTAGCTCTAAGTTCTTTCGGTCCTTTTTATGAACCCCGACTTTCCGTATTAGCTCTAAGTTCTTTCGGTCCTTTTTATGAACCCCGACTTTCCGTATTAGCTCTAAGTTCTTTCGGTCCTTTTTATGATCCCTGACTTTCCGTATTAGCTCTAAGTTCTTTCGGTCCTTCTTATGATCCCCGACTTTCCGTATTAGCTCTAAGTTCTTTCGGTCCTTTTATGATCCCCGACTTTCCGTATTAGCTCTAAGTTCTTTCGGTCTTTCTTATGATCCCCGACTTTCCGTATTAGCTCTAAGTTCTTTCGGTCCTTTTTATGATCCCCGACTTTCCGTATTAGCTCTAAGCTCTATCGGTCCTTTGTATGATCCCCGACTTTCCGTAATAGCTCTAAGCTCTTTCGGTCCTTTGTATGATCCCCGACTTTCCGTATTAG